GGGAGGTTGCGTGAAGATGTGAGACGGAAGCGGCCGGCAAAGTGGCGCAACCACAACTGGCTGCTGCATCATGACAACGCGCCAGCGCACACCGCCCTCAAAGTTCGGCAGTTTTTGGCCTCAAACACCATGGCCGTCATCCCGCACCCTCCTTATTCGCCGGATTTAGCTCCGTGTGACTTCTTCCTCTTCCCCAAGATGAAAATTCAGCTAAAGGGAAGGCGATTTGAGACGATAGAAGAGATTCAGGCAGAATCGCAGATGGTGCTTGACAGGCTGACAAAGAAAGATTTCCAGGGATGCTTCCAGGCTTGGCAGCGGCGCTGGGATCGTTGTGTTCACTCCCAGGGGAACTACTTCGAGGGTGATGGATGAATTTAATACCTGAGATAAGTGTACGGGTCTGGAAACTTTCCGATCGCACCTCGTACCTCAACACAAAATTTGGCTGGTGCATGGAGCGTCATAACCTCGTATTCTGCACGTCTTTATGGTGTAGTGGTTAATCGTTTTAGCTTTTGTAGGTCTAAATATACGGATAACCTAGGCACTGATGAAATAGCTTAAAATCTACTTTCTAATTACTTGAAGAAGATCATTGTCTTCCGGTATCTTGCACCGTGTAGTCTGATAGATGTTGACTGACGTATCAGATACATCAACGAAGACAGCCATCTTTGAACATGTCATCGTAAGAACTTCAAATGTCAGATCGTGTACAAAAACACGAGAAAAGGAAATGAAATTGTGTAATTTGTGTCAGCCTGTTTGTGGGGAAAAAATTTTGCCAAACTCCAGTCCTCACAGTTGACTTTTACTTATTAGTACGTAACGGAACTACAATAAATCCATTAGTTTATCTTAGATAATTTAATTTAATTTGAGCTGATAAATGTGACCGAGGTGCTCGTTAAGGCAGCCTTAACGATTCTGGGAATTTCCGACCTAAACAGTCGTAAAAGCAGCGTCAATTGCTAATGACAGTTCTCCTGAGAGGACGTGTCCTGTCCTGTATCAGTTAGGCCTACACAGTGACAAAATAAGTTACAAGTAGAAATTAAGCTACTTAATTAGCTAAATTTAAATGGAGCTGTGATCTGAAGATTTCTGTCTTCTGGGTTGTTGCGCTGTGTAGTCTGGTCGATGTTTACCAACATTTCAGAGGTCATACTGCCTCCATCATCAGGGCGATGAAGATTTCTGTCTTCTGGGTTGTTGCGCTGTGTAGTCTGGTCGATGTTTACCAACATTTCAGAGGTCATACTGCCTCCATCATCAGGGCGATGAAGATTTCTGTCTTCTGGGTTGTTGCGCTGTGTAGTCTGGTCGATGTTTACCAACATTTCAGAGGTCATACTGCCTCCATCATCAGGGCGATGAAGATTTCTGTCTTCTGGGTTGTTGCGCTGTGTAGTCTGGTAGATGTTAACCAGCGTTTCAGAGGTCATACTGCCTCCGTCATCAGGGGCGATCTCAAGCAAGCACACAGTAGACAATGTCCAGCACAATATTCATACAATGTTTCAAGAATTTTCATAGACTTTAGAGAATGTGTTTGTTTTATTCATGCAGTTAATTCATGTCTCGTTTTGTGCGGAGCTCACGTCTAGGTTTAGTTGGCTGGTAACATGTTCTGCTGTTCTCATGAATACCGATTCATTAATTTTCTCACCTTATCTCAGTAGAAGCTTTTGCTGATTCCCCTTTCCAGCAGTGTTCTTCTATTTTACACACTGATATTTCTCTAATTTTTGTGTTGAGCTGTTTTCGGTGATTCTAATTTGAATTGCATTAATGTCTCTCACTAGCATTTGCTTTCACATTCCCGTGAGAGTCCATAATTCTGCCCTTCGATACCTGTATCTCGCGTTGTGGCTATTATTAAAATGCCTCGTAGCTTTGTTGGTCTCCTGAGTTCTGTTCGTACTCCAAATGTTCTCATGATTTTGTTAATGTCTGGTGATACTCTTTGCATTGGTGATCTATATCTAACTTCTGTTTAGGATTTCGTTTATGAAATTCGATGAGTACGTACGTTTTTCAATATGTAACCCCTATAATTGCTGTTTGTTGAAAGTGTTTTCATTTCTGCCAATCCTGACGTAGATGGGAGCATAATATTAAAATGGATCATAGGGAAATAGGTTTGAGGGATATTGATTGGTTTCATCTGGCTCAAGATAGGGTCCAATGTCGACTCTTGTGACCATGGTATTGGGAAAAAAGCAGGCATTTTCTTTACTGGTTGATATTTTTGCTATTCAAGAAAGACTTATCAGTTATTTATACCAGAGTTCCAATTGATACCCTGTAATACGAGATTTTAACTACCTGCAGTGATTCATAGATCGGTCAGGTAGTCAGTCTACTTATTAGCGTACAACCCTAGTACCGAATTCGACCACAAGCTTCGCCACTGTCCTTAAAGTAATAACTAACAACCAAATCTGTCTGCATAATAGAACTGAATGAAACAATTCGTCGGGATATTGGAGTTACAGCGAAATCCCGAAATTTTGTGGGGCCTATACGAGCTACAGTGGACAATGTACGACATAACTTTGGTGTTACGAATCGGCCACTGCCACAGACCTTCGCAGAATCGTCAGAATTACAATGCACCG